AGAATTGGTGGTTGAATATATGTGTTTGATTTACGCACACCAAGAACTGACACAGGAGTTTTATTCAATGTTTCACATGCCCATTTCTCTAGCCTTCAAAAGCCATAAAGCTGTACTATCTCCCAGAAGCCTTTCACTCAGCCCCTACTCTGGTCTGACTGGACTCCCTGCTCCTCAGATTTACCCTTGGCACTTTGTATTTTATTCTGTGTGTTTATCCTGTCCCTGGGCTACAATATAAAACTCTTGATGGCCAAAGTTTTGTACTGATCCAAGTGGTTGACCTAGGACTCTGTTGCTCCCCCATCCAACTCCATTGCTCTGCTATAGGACTCCATCTCTCTGCTATCTTAACTCCATGGCTCTATCTTTATATCTCACTTGACTGACAGAAATCTGAGCTCTGATTGGCCACCCCCATCCCAGTGTCCTGCCCTCTACCTTGAGGTGGTGCTCTACAGGAATGTCACTGCACAGGTCCACTTGGACTCACTAGAAATTAACCATCCATGGCTGCAGGTAGACTCTCAATTGTCCCCAAATCCCAGCCGTGTTTTTCCTCTCCAGCTTGTTCTCTCACATCCCGCAGCCATCTTTTCACAGTCCCTGTGTTCTCTATAAGCCTCTGAAACCCTCAGCTACTCCCCCTCACAGACAGCCATAGTTTCTACTTCCCATTAAACAAACAAAAAAACCCACCAAAACAGGAGTCCTTGGAGAGAATTCCTATATCCCCCTAATCAAATCTTGTCAACTTTATAAAAAAAATACATAATTTCCTTATCTTTTCTTTTTGTTTTTTTTGTTCCTTCTCCCTCACTTCTTATCTCTGTTAACCCTCCAAGATTCAGACTGTATCTAAACCTTTCCTTGACTTTTTTTTGTTAGTGGTTTTATACCATAATTATCCTTTAGTGACTGACTTATGTCACTCAGCATAACTTGTGCTAGATTCATCTATGTTGTTCAATATTTTTAGTGATGCGTAATACTCCATTGTGTGAATGTACAGTCTAGGCATTCATCTGTTGATGGCCACTTCAGTGCACTCTGACCCTTTTCCTCTCCTGACAGAAGAGCTCTCTCTAAAGCCATGTCCCCTCTCTAGGCTTGGAATCCAACCCTGCTGCTCCATTACAAGCTGTAGACTATCTTCCATCCCTCACCCCTTTCCAGCTCTGCTGGCCTCCTGACTTTTCTCTCTCCTTTACTCCTGTTGTTGCTGCTGTTGTGTACCTAGAGTCAGAACTGACCCATAGTTGACCCTCCAGCAGATTTTCAGAGGTAGTTAATCACACAGGAGGAGATTGCCCATTCTTCTCCTATGGCGAAGCTGGTGGCTTTGAACCGCTTGCCTTCAGAATTGCAGCACAGCTTATTACCAGTAGGCTAGAGCTCTCGCCTTTACTTCTGGACATATTAAAAACAAAGCATTTTCATTATCTCCATTTCTCACCACACATTATCTATCTCTTCAGTTTAACTCCCATCTGCCTTCCATTGCTTTCCTCTATCAGAACACTTCATGCTAAATAAGGTCTCCAAAGACTTACAGGTTGCTAATGCACTAACATGTCCCAGGATTCATGTCAGTGAACACAGTTAACACTGTCAATCCCGTTTCATCCATTTCCCTGACGTGACATGACACTGTGTTTTTTCATTCCTCCCTCAGGAGGCTCTTTGCTGTCTCCTCTGCAGGTTCATCCTCTTCCAGGCCATTATATGCTGATGGTCTTCCAGACTGAGCTTATCACTCTTGTCCTCATCCTGCCCTTTCTCCACTGAAGGCATCCCTATGAAGGAACAAGTGTCCCACACACAGAAACACTTCCTGTCCCTGCTCTCAGCTGCCCTGTGATCTTAAGATCCAGGGATTGCCTGGCTGAGAGCCACAATGTCTCATAGGTACACCAAACTTAACAAGTTCAAAACTGAGCTCTTCTTTTAAACTGCTTTACCCCAGTAGTATATTAGATATCTATAACCTACGAAACTATGAAGCAGTCCTGCTCTGTCAGATGGAGTCACTATGAATCAGAATTGACTCAACAGTACACAACAGTGGCACAGAAAGAATTTTTTTTCTTCCTGGCAAACAGCCTTTTCTCATTATGTAGAGACTCAGTTTATTCTAAGTAATGCTTTCTCTTAAAGTTATTAGTTTATGTGATATTAATAAAGGGGGGCTGGCGCTCTGGTGGCAGTGTCTGCGGAGAATTACACTGCTAGCCCAGTTTAAATCTGCTAGTAGCTCTATATGGGAAGGATGGATAATCTCTTTCCATGAGGTTTCCACTTTGGGGAAACTTGCAGGAATGTTAGCTGTGAGTCAGTTCTGACTCAACAGGAATGAATTTGAGTTTTTGATAATTTCTTTTTCTGACATTTTAATACAGAGATGTTGGGTTCCCCCTGCCCCCGCCCCAGTTCTTTTTCATCCTTGTTGTGGGCCTATGTTTTAGGACTTTCTCTTATATATGGTTTATAGTTATCAATTCATTTTGTCATCTTTAAAGTCGGCTAATACCTTATTCCTTCAGTTGCACCTTGTATAAACGTCAAGATACTTTAATTTTTACCTCTGCTTTGCAACTTAAATGCTATAGCTTGCCATTGTTGTATTTTTTATAAAGCAGGCTTATAACTTTATGTAGGTTATGTTTACCAATATTTGTCCACTGTGTTTTATTTATCCATTTGTGTTTATTAAGTTATTTGCTTACTATTAGTTTTTGTATCTCATACCTTCTACACATAGCATTTAATGTCTTTCAGATATTTATCTTTAGAAATTTGTTTTAGTAAGATCTGTTGAAAGAGCCCTGATGGCATAATGCATTGCATGTTAGGCTGCTAACTGATAGGTCAGTGGTTTAAATCCACCGGCCATTCCTCAGGGAAAAGATGGGCCATCTCCTACCATAAAGATTTACAGTCTTGGAAATCTGATAGAGAATCCTCAAGAGTCAGCACTGATTCAGCAACAGTGGTTTTAGTTTGTAAGAAAATCCTTGAGTAATACAGTTTACATGCAACTACCCCAGTCTGATAGAATAATTGATGCCTTTGAGTGGTGCTGGAGAAGAGTATTGAGCATACCGTGGACCACTAAGAAAACAAATAGGTCTGTCTTGGAGAGTGTGAAACCAAGTTTCTCCTTGGAGGATAGGATTTTGAAGCCCTGTTTCACATACTTTGGGCATGTGGCCAGGAGAGACTGTCCTTGGAGAAGGACATCATGCTTGGAGGGGTGGAGGGACAGTACAGGAGACAAGACCCCGGCTGAGATGGATTGATACAGTAACTGGAGCAATGGGGGTAGGTGTATCGGAGTCAGTGAGACTGGCTCAAGACAGAGCAGGCTTCAGAACTGTTGTATATAGGGTTGCTATGAGTCACAGGTGACTTGAAAGCACATAGCATCCACCTTAGTCTACCCAGCAATGTCTTGGAAGAAAGGGCTGGTGATCTATTATTATAAATATTTCAGCTAAAAAAATTCAGAAGAGAAATTCTGCTCCAGAACATGTGGGACTGCCAGGAATTGGAATCATCTCAGTAACAGCAAGTTTGGGTTGCGTAGTTGTTATTATAGGTAAATTCACATAATTCATTTAAAAAATGTTTTTATTTTGCACTTGTGTTTGAAGGGTAGTTTTGCTGGGTATACCCATCTAAGTTGGCAGTACTTTTTCACTTTAAAAGCATTATTCCACTGCCTTCATGCTTCTGGTTTTGCTGTTGAGAAGTTAGCTGCCAGTCGATTGTTATTCCTGTGTTGTGATCTAACATTCTTTCCTGGATTCTTTTTCTTCTCTTTTTTTTTATGTTCTTTAGTTTCACTGCTTTGTATATAGGTGTGGATTTCTTTTTCTTCATGACGCAGGCCCACTTCCATTCTTTTGGTTTTGACTCATGGTGACCCTTGTTTGGATTTCCCAAGACTGCACATCTGTCACCCTTGCAGCAGCTGATTCAACCCCCACCCCCCCACCTTTTGGTTAGCAGCTCACTGCTTTACACATGATACCACAAGGGCCAGTAAACAATATATTAGGTAGTCTACATTTGCAGCTTTTACTAGGGTGCTCTGATGATGTAGTCCATTAAGAGCTATACTGCTAACCCAGGATCTTGCCTCTTTCTGGTTTGAATCCACCAGTGACTTCAGGGGGAGAAAGAAGCAATCTTTTCACATGCAATTTGCAGGCTCAGACATTCACTGGAAAGTCATTTATGAGCTGGCAACAGTGAGAGAGTTCAACACGTTTCCCTTTCATATTCCTATTTTACTTAATGAAGGTTCCTCATTTGGTAAATCTGTATCTTCATCTCAATACTTAAACACTGTTAAAAGGGATGAAAACCACATGAAAAATAGGATTTATTTGAATATCACAAAATTTAAAGACTCATTGCTAACAGTTATGACTAATAACTGACCCTCCAATTGGGCTTCTGAGACTGTAAATTGCATGGGAGGAGATCATCCATCCATCTCTCTTGGAGCTGCAGGTGGATTTGAACCATCAGAGAGGCATAGTCTTTGAGTTTAGTAGTACAGCTCCCTAAAAATGTAAAGAAGTAACGGAATATTAATTCAACAAATGCTTAGAAGTGAGAAAGCCCTCTTTCCCAGATAACGTTTTCTTTGCACGGGAAGTCATCAAAGGGATTCTGGGTTGAGGCTCTGGAGGGTCAGGCAGGGGAAGTAGATGGGGAAGAATTTAGGACAGGCAGCCCTGAGGGTTGACACTCTGGGATTCCTCTTTGGCCACACAGTCCTGGCAGGCTGCCACAGGTCCGTAGGCGTGGAGCCAATGAGGTGGTGAGGAAGTGAAGAAAAGAGAAACTTGGGGATAGGAATAGGGAGAAAGTTGGACGGGATGGCAGGACACAGCCTGTGTTCACCAGCTTTTCTCTACAGATAACATAGTTAAGTTACGGACTTCCTCCGAGACAGCAATAACCTCTGCCATTTTTTCTCCTAGATCAATGAACTGAGCCATGTGCAAATCCCTGTTATGTTGATGCCAGATGACTTCAAAGCCTACTCAAAGATAAAGGTGGACAATCACCTTTTTAACAAGTAAGTACAAGAATGACCTTTTGTGGGGCCGATGTGGTGGCTCAGGGTATGATTTTTGTGAATTTCTGTAATCACATTATTTTTCAGTGGGTAGGAGTAAAGTTTTGCTGATGAAGTTAATCCTGTGATAAACATAACCATCTGTCATTTTTAGAAAAGCAACAGCAGGCTTCTTGAGTAATATCCCTTTGCCATATGGTATATTGTTATCTATGAATATCTTATATGTTAAAAGTGATATTCTCATTACAATTTAAATTTTTGAATCTGTAAATTGCTTGGGTGTTTGAACAGTTGTGAATTTTTTGTGTAAAAACCTTGATAATAATTACATTGGGAAGAGAAATGGCCATTTTTATAGAACAGTGAAAAATTTAGGTACATTTTTAGAAAACATATATCGTTTTAAATAAATATATCTCTTTTTATCTATCTATATTTATCTCTATCTATATCTAATCACCTCCAGTGCCCTAGTGGCAAGAAGCTGCACTGTAATCCCGAAAGCATGTGGTTTGAGGTCATCAGTCCCTCCACAGGAGAGTCTCCTCCTGTGTGATTAACTGCCTCTGAAAACCTCCCCGAGGGTCATGTATGGGTCAATTCCAACTCTACAGTACACAACAACAACATTGTGTATGTGTGTAACACATTGTGGGCACCGAAATAATTTCTCCTTTACTTGAATATAGTTTTAGACCTCACAGTTGAGGCCCGGGGTAGCTGACCAAAAGACTGATGGTTAGGTTCTACTCAGGATTCTGGTGATCTACTTCTATAAGATCTTAGCACAGTTATACAATGACTCAACGAGAAGTTGGCCCTAAGTCAGAATTAGCTCAATAATAACTGGTTTTGTTTTTCCTATGAAAAACATACTAGAAGTGGAGATAAAATATAGATGTATCCATGCCTTTAATGAGCTCATAATTTGGCTGGTTGTCTATAAACTGTCACATACATAAGCAACTGTCATTAGGTGTGCAAAATACAATAGAGGATATGGGGGGGGGTGGTGTATGTGTTTAAATTCATGTATAAGATTCTTTGGTGACATGAAGGAGGATTTATTCTAAATGAGTGGAGTGAGCCTCAAAGAAGACTGTAGAAATTCCTCTCACATTCAGATCAATTATGAAATCTCCTAATGGAGCCATTGTTCTAATATGAAGCTGTTGTGTTAATTCTTCTCATAGTGACCTTTTGAGGAAATATTTTTTTTTCCTATGTGAATTGAGAATGTGGCATTTATATAAAATACCTTCATCTAGGAGTGAAAGAACAGTCTTGTTCTATAAACTTTAATTCAGTTAGAAACTGGAAACTGTCCAGGGAGAACACTGTTTGCCTTCTCCTGACTCCTGTGTCTTTGCCTTTCCTGTTGCCCATGTGCCCTCCTTTCCCTTCCACCTTTTCCTCCTTGGATAAATGCTGTTAATGTGTGGTCAGGATTTAAAAGGTTGCTTGGTCAGAGTGCCCCTAGGTCGTAAAAGAAGATAAATATTAATGAACTGATATTTTTTGTTCCCCAACATCTGACTGCGGGTTATACTTGAGTCTTTAAAGTCCGTTTGAGTACAACATGGATAATGAACTTAAGCACCTGTCTGGCTACCAGAACTCCATGGTGGCAGAATCAGATCTGGTTAACTCATTGCACATCTGAGCTTTACTCTGCAATATCACTGTTTCAGAGAAAACATGCCGAGCCATTTCAAGTTTAAGGAATACTGTCCAATGGTTTTCCGTAATCTGCGGGAGAGGTTTGGAATCGATGATCAAGATTTCCAGGTGAGTTGCTTTTTTTATAACATTTGCCACTGGTAAATTTTATAAAAGGATCCCTAGTGGTATGATGGTTAAGTGCTCATCAGCTGAACAAAAGGTTCCAATATGGTCCTTAAGAATCAGAATCAACTAAATGCCAATGAGATGCTTTTGGGGGTTTCTTGGTTTTTTTGGTGTTTTTTGTTTGTGTTGGGTTTTGGGGGTTTTTTTGTTATTTTTTTGGGTTTTTTTAAGTTTGGGGTTATAATCTCTTTTGTTCTGTAAAATGGGATTTACTATTTTTGTTATTATATGTTATACTTCATGTCATTTTTAGAATTTTCTTTTTTTAAAAATGCATATCTTGGTTAGATGTGTTTGTGTGATTTCAGTATAAAAATTGGTAGGAAAAGAAATTAGTTGATCTCATTATTTGTGGGTTCTGTATTTGTAACCCACCTGCTCTCCAAAATGTGTATGCCGCTCCACATCAGTACTCACGGTGTTTTTACAGTTATTCCTGAATATGAGCAAAGTGGTTTAAAAGAAGTTGAGTCACCCGATGAGTGAGTTCTCACCTGAGTTTAGAGAAAGTCATGCTTTTTCTCTTCATAGTTAGACTTTCATTCTCTTGAGCTACAAACAAGTGTTCTTTTCACTACCTAGTGGCACTTTTTTTATTACTGTTTTGCTTTTTCACTGTTTAAAACAGCCTCTAAGTGCTGTATCACGGTCTAGTGTTGATAATTACAGAAAGAAAAAAAGTAAGCTTTATTCAGGTCTGAGCTATACCACTTTGGGTTGTAAGTTCAATTTTGTTTGTTCTTTAAAATAATATATACCATCTATCCATCTATCATCTATTTTAACGTACTTTTGCAAAAAAATAAAATAAAATTCCATTGATTTTTTTTCTCCCTTTCCCTCGCTTCTCAGTAAGATCTGTTAATGAATTAACATATATATTGCATAATATGTCTTTAAGCAGCAACTATAAAACTAGGTTGACAAAAACATGATCAAAGGCTTGCAGAAACATAACCTTGCCTTTTGCCTCAGAGCAGTGATTTCATATTCACTGATGAGTGTTTACAGTAACTTTGTGGAGCATGTCTCTCGCCTCTCACCGTTAATGAGGAGCATCTGTAATATTCTGTGGCCAGAGAGGGTTTTGAAATACTCTGTATTTCCAGGTGACAGTGCCCTACCAGCTGAGCTTTGTTTTTATTTCTGCTGTAAAAAGTGTCCACAGCCTGGGAAAGTGGGTTGCTTTCATATTTCCTACATTTTTTAGAGGCATCTACTAAGTTTCAGAATTTTTTTTTTCTTTTTCTTGCTCTTTGGCTGCTTTCAAATTGAGCTCCACCAACTCCTGACTTGTCTGCAGCCTTTGGTTAAACTCTGCTTTGTGTGTCAGTGGTGACACTGTTGTCTCTGTCAGGCCCCATCTGTCTCCAGGTGGCCCTTTGGAGTACCTTCCTCTTGATCTTGGCACCTACATACCAAATAACAAATATACACTATTGCTTTCCCAAATTATCACGTTAAAATAGAAATTTGAGATGGTTGTGCTGTCATATCTGTTGATAGGTGATTATTTTTCCTAAGTAGGAGTCTGATATTGCACCACCCCCACCGCCCCATTTTTTATATAGCTGGTCAGATTCTTAAACATTTACAATTTTTTTTTTTAAAGAATAGAAATCTAACATAGGAATTCCAAAGACTACTTTCTGGTCTTTTATAACAGTTTATTCATTTTACTAGGAACGCAGACTTTTTTAAACCCCCTTCAAATCTAGTAACCAGTTTCTCTAATTTTCTCTCAATTGCAAATCCTGATTTATCCATATGCTTATACAAAACACATTGCTATTAAGTCGGAACAGATTCATAGCTGACCTTTTAGCAGATTTTCAGAAGCTGTAAATGGCAAGGGGGGAGATTGCTCATCTTTCTCCCTCAGAGCCACTGGTAGATTCGAACCACCAAAGAGGTATAATGGCTTTTGGGTTAGCTGCACGGCTCCCTACAGACTATACCACCAGAGTTTCCTTTATCCTCACAGCTGACCTTCAAAGTTGAAAGTTGTCACAGTTTGCCCTGGATTTCTGCCTTCACAAATGAAATCCTAAAGTTTAGGACTGTAATCAGATTTTTGTGGATCCCCTCTTCCCCTGTTTAAAGCTTCTCATCTGCTTATTCAGATATGATAAACTGTTATGGTTTGAGAAAGAAATGTTGGCCAGGCTGCTAGTGGACCAGGGTCACTGTCTCCATACAGATCCAGATTTTATGCAGACCCAGGTGCACCCAAAGAGAAGACAGCGGGACAGGATATAGAGGGCACAGTGGTTGACTCTGAAACTCTGTGTCAACACTGACATTTGGAATTAATATTTAATAAAGAACTTCCATCAAAATTATTATCTTGACATTTATAGCTGAAAAAAAGTAATAAATTATCTTTTAATGGATTATTTAAATGGTAAATACGGACTTGGTTTGTATGACATAAAATAATTATTACATGTAGGCGAGCTCTGGTGGCCTAGTGGCAAGAAGCTGCACTGCAATCCCACAGGTGTGCGGTTCAAATCCACTAGATGCTCTGCTGAAGAAGGAGGAACAATCTCCTCCTGTACCAGTCAGATCTGATTTGACGGTACACACACACAAATAATAAAAAAAAATTTTAAAAATTATTATTACATGTAAAGAAGCCATATGAAAATGAATTTGATACCTTTAAGGGAATTAATAGAAAGTAACTTTGGCATACTAAGAAAATTTCTACCTAACAAAAGGACCCTGTGTAGTGCAAGCTATTTACAGTTGTGGTGAAATGAGTTCATTTATGTGCCTTTTTGCTTTTGCTCTTTGGGAAAAGCACTTAAGTTTGTTTTGGTTGTTTTTGGGTTTTGGTGGGGTTCTTTTATTCCTCCTCCAAACTCTGAGGATGACCCTTTGTCTACTTTGTACCCTAGAGGTTTTGTTACTTTTATCCAGGTTGAATTTCCTGGGTCAATCAGAAGCAGCTTGATTTTGGCAACTTTGATCCCTCACAGTAATCTACCCTGCGCTTGGTATCCATCTTGCAGGTGTTGAATAGACTATGCAAATGAGATTAATGTAGCCTGCTGTACTTTGGGCATGTTGTTGTGGGGAGGCCAGTCCTTGGAGAAGAGCATCATGCTTGGAAGGGCAGAGGGACAGTGTGGAAGAGGAAGACCCTGGATGAGGTGGATTGACCCTTTGACTAAGGCAGTGGGGGTAGGTGTGTAAGAGACAATTAGATTGGCTCCGGATAGGGCAGGGTTCAGAACTATTGGGCACAGGGTCACTAGGAGTCGCAGTCAAATTGAGGGCACGTAACAACAAAAAACAACATGCAGGTGAAGTTTCTGCAGTCTGTGGATTGGTCAGTTCATGGTACTGGTGGAAGGACTGTGCCTTGAAATTGACAAAACATTTGTGTATTTAAGCAGACAGCCTGACAGAGATTTTTCTTTTAATGATTTTTATTTGTATACTCGTTTACTTAAAAGTTCATACATTCTTTTTCACACTGGATCGTTCCCATTTCCTTAACCCATCAAATTGTGCTACCGTATGATTACAGGCCCCCCAACCCTGGCCAGGCCCCACCTCCCAGCCTTAGATCCTCATACACGTTTTACTAGTTACCTGTTTCTACACTAATGGTCTTGTATAGTATTTGCCCTTATGAGACTGAGTTAGTTCACTTAGCATAATGCTCTCCAGTCCCTCCCAAGATAGAGAGTGATTTACAAAATCATTGCTTCTCAGTGCTATATAGTATTCCATCTTGTGAATATACCATAATTTCTCAATTCATTCAATTGTGGTTGGACATTTGGGCTGTTTCCATGTTCTTTCAATGGTGAATAATGCTGCTTTAAACATTGGTGTACAAGTCTCCGTTTGTCTCAGTTCTCATTTTCTTGGGGTATTTTCAAAGCAGTGGAATAGCTAGACTATATGGAATTTTTATGTTCAGCTTTCTGAGGAAATGCCAGACTACCTTCCAATCCCACCAATAGTGTATGAGTTCCTATCTCTCCACATCTCTCCAACATTTATTACTTGCTCTCCTGTTAAACTTTGCAACTGCTGCTGGAGTAAGATGGTATCTCATTATGGTTTTGGTTCGTATCTCTCTTACTGCTGGTGATTTTGAGCATTTCTTCATGTGTCTGTTGGCCATCCAAATATCTTCCTCTGTGAAAATTCTTTCCATGTCTTTTCCCCATTTTGTCATTGTGTTATCAGTCTTTTTCTATTGGAGGCTCTATAGGTTCTGTAAACTTTTGATATGAGACCCTTGTCTGAAGTGATATTGCCAAATGTTTTTTCCCAGTCAGTAGATTTTCTTTTCACTATGTTCGGAAAAGTTTTTTATGCACAGAGGGATTTAATCTTTAGAAAGTACCGTTGATCAATTTTATCCTGTCCAAATTGTGCATTTCTGGCTGTATTTTGCAGTCTTTTTATATCATAGACTAGAAGGAAGACTCATCAACAACCTGCACTATGCAAATGACACAATCTTGCTGAAACTGAGGAGGACCTGAAGCACTTGCAGCAGAAGGTCTAGGACTGCAGCCTTAAGAATGGATTGAAGCTCAACATCAAGTGTACTCGGGGTGGGGTGGGGGGAAGGGACATGGGAATTGTATACTAATGAAGGAATTTTTTTCTTTTTTTTTTTTTCTTTTTTCTCTCTTCGGCGGGGGAAGCGAGCTGGTGGGGAGGGGTGGGAAGGGAGAAAATTGCGGCAATGAATGAATGGAAATCCAAAACCTCTGTAAAAAAAAA